TTTCCTTCCCCTCCTCCATGGGTTTCTGTTAAGTTTCTCAGGATCCACATAAGAGTGAAAACATATGGTATCTGTCTTTCTCTGTATGGCTTATTTCACTTAGCATCACACTCTCCAGTTCCATCCACATTGCTACAAAGGGCCATATTTCGTTCTTTCTCATTGCCATGTAGTACTCCATTGTGTATATAAAACACAATTTCTTTATCCATTCATCAGTTGATGGACATTTAGGCTCTTTCCATCATGTGGCTATTGTTGAGAGTGCTGCTATAAATATTGGGGTACAAGTGCCCCTATGCATCAGTACTCCTGTATCCCTTGGGTAAATTCCTAGCAGTGCTATTGCTGGGTCATAGGGTAGGTCTATTTTTAATTTTCTGAGGAACCTCCACACTGCTTTCCAGAGTGGGTGCACCAGAGGAGAACTGATATTTGAACAACATCAAGTGTTCTAACCCTTTAACAAGACGTATCCTCAATTTATTTAGGTTTTCTTTAATTTCTCCAAATAATACAGTTTTCAGTGTACAGGTATTTCATATCTTTTGTCAAATTTTGACTAAGTCACGTTTTCAATTCAATTGTAAATAGCAGTTTTTAACTTTTTAATTCAATTAGTACCTAGTATAAAGTAATACAGTAGATTTTTGTATAAAGATACTGTTTTCTGCAACATCGCTAAAGTCACCTATCGTTCCAGTAGCTTTTTTGTGGATTCCATTGGATTTTCTTTGTAAATGATCTACAAATAGAAATAATTTTACATCTTCCTTTCCAATCTGGGTATCTTTTATTTCCTTTTCTTGTCTGATTGGACTGGCTAGAATCTCCAATACAGTGTTGAATGGAAATAGTGAGAGCATATATTCCTGGATCTCAGGAGGAAAGCACTGAGTATTTTACCAGTATGATGTTTTTCATGGATAAACTTTATCAGGATAAAGTTCACTTTTATTTGTAACTTTTTTTGGAAAAAAAAATCAGGAGTAGATACTGGATTTTGTCAAGTAGTTTTTCTACGTTTATTGAAAACATTGTTTTTCTTCTTTTTTTTTAATTTAGTAAAATAATTATATTAACTGATTATTTAATTGAAATTTGATTCACATACTATGAAACGCAGGCTTTAAGGTATAGAATTCAGTGGTTTTAGTACATTTACAGAGTTGTGCAGCCATTACTGTTATCTAATTCTGCCACCCCAAAAAGTAACCTCATACCCATTTGCAGTCATCCTCCACTCCCTCCTCCCACGTCCCTTGGCAACCATTATTTTACTCTTTGTCTCGTGGGATTTGCCTGTTTTTGATATTTCATATAAGTGGGATTATATAATATATGATCTTTTGCGTTTGGCTTCCTTCACTTAGCTTAGTGTTTTTATGGTTCTATATCAGTACCTCAGTATAATTCATAATATTCAGTCTTATGAATATGTCACATTTTGTTTATTCATTGATCAGTTGATGTATATTTGAGTTGTTTCCAATTTGTGGCTGTTATGAATACTAAGATTAACATTCATGTGTATGTTTTTCTGTGGACATGTGTTTTCATTTCTCTTGAGCATGTATGTAGGCGTACGATTACTGGGTGAAATGGTAGCTGTGTTTAACGTTTTGAGGAACCGCCAAATTGATTTTCAGAGTTGCTGTACCATTTGACATTGCTACCAGCAGTAGGTGAGGCTTCCAGTTTCTCCGCATCCTCCCCAACAATTGTTATTGCTGGTCTCTTTGATTCTAGCCATGTTGGTGGTGTGAATTGGTCTTCATTTGTGTTTTACTAGTGACTGATGACATTGGGTCACCTTTTATGTGTGTATTTGCCATCTGTATTTCTCCTTTGGAGAAATGCCCACACAGACCCTTTGCCCATTTTTAAATTGGGATGTTTGTCTTTTTGTTTTTGAAATATAAGAGTTATTCACATACCCTAGATAAAAGTCCCCTTATCAGATATGTGACTTGTAGATATTTTCTCCCATTCTGTGGGTTGTTTTCCACTTCCTTTTTAAAAATTTAAATTTAATTTTTAAAAATTGTAGTGTAGGGGCGCCTGGGTGGCTCAGTAGGTTAGGCGTCCTACTTCGGCTCAGGT